ATAAATACAAAATTTTATTAATTAATTATTATATTTCTATATTACTAGATAAATAAACTAGACCTACTAAAGTTGAAAGAAGGCAGAGTATAATTTTATTTTTTTGCTACTAAACTCTTGATATTAGGAAATTATATTAAATCTCAATTAATTTTGGAATCAAATTGCATCGGATCCCATCAAAAGAAACTCTTTTCGTGCATATTTTTTTATTCACAAAATTTAAACTCAAGATTTTATCTTCTTGCATTCAAACCATAAGTTATTGATGGAAAAGTATAATTTTATTAATCATAAAAATTATATTTATATTTTTTTTAAAATAAATTGTAAAAAATAAACAAAATTTAAAGTCTTATAATTTCCTTGAATTAGAGATTGAAAATAGAGATTAGGAGGGTTTCACGACCTCTTCATCTTCCTCGCCTTCTCTGCTAACTCAATTGAATTTAATTTCTATATTTTAATTAAGGATAGCAACGTAAACCCTCTTAAACCAGAGAATGCTCATTTGTTTCCCGTCTCAGTTATGCACAACCACATGAATTCCCCGCCTCCCACTAATTTATATTACAACATTAATTTAATTAATTTAATTTTATTATTTTCATATAAAATGTTTTAAAAAGTTGAGTTAAGACTAAGAAATGTGTTGGCTTGATTTAAAGTAATTAGATTTTAGTATTTGACTAAAATTAAGGATTACTAATGACCATGTACAAGCTGATCAAAAAACATGAGTATGCACCATAGGTATGAGTTAAAGGTTTGATTTAATAATTTTTTTTTTAATTTTTAATTTTTCACAAAGAAGAGAGATTTCGAAGAAATTTACGGGCAAAAACAAATTCCTCAAGGAAGAAAATATCCCGTCCCGGTGCCACAAACCGGGATCCAGAGAAATTTCCTCCCCTAATTTCAATTGACATTTGATAACTTAATGGTCATCATATGACTCATCTGCATTTGGAAGTACGTAAACATGTTACACCTCCTATTCTTGAATTTTTAAGAAGAATAAAATCATAAAATAATTACATATTAGACAATTTTCCATATCCAAATATCAGCGCCTGAGTTCAAGCTTGTGCATAGTACAGGCTGACTTTTGCAAGGGATATATAACTGTATGTTACAAAAACAATGTTCATGCATTGTCGCAAAATACGTTGACAGATTACACGTTAAATATGCATAAGGGGGAGGAATGAATGGCGAAGCATTTAAGCCCACCAGGGTTCCTCACCGTTTCTGAAATCTGTTTCAACCCATGGAACAAAGACCACTCTCCCATCATCAATATCAGCATGGGCCAAGGCCAACGACTGTTACAGCAAAGTTAAAGTTGTTTTTGAACAAGACAAAAAATTAAAGATATGATCAGCAACATATTCTAAGAACATGCCAACAAAATGCAGAATCTTTCTACTAGTAGTTTAATCCATGTTAATGATTTTTGAGATATCAAGGAAGTGTTAGGAACTTAAGATGCATGAAGTTTTGCATTCAAAGGAACCTATCTCCAGCACATAATATATCTAACAGAAGGAATTTACTCACCAATGGTGCAGGTCCTCTCACAACTCTTCCTTGATCATTATATTGTGATCCATGGCACGGGCAAATGAACTTGTTCTCAGCTGGATTCCATGGAACAACACATCCAAGGTGAGTGCAGACAGCGTTTATTCCGTATGTTGCAAGAGTTCTGTCTTTCTCCACCACAAGGTAGGTTGGATCTCCCTGGAAATTCATAAACAATTCCAAATGGATTTCTCAAATCAATATCCCCTCATTTACCCAAGTTCTATTTGATGATAAAATATTTCTATCTCTTGCCAGAAAAATCATGTTTCTTTTGTGTTTGCAGGTTTTATATGCCCTTTGGTAGGTCTTTGAAAATAATATAAATATCCCATAAGTTACCTTCAATCCTTGTGTGAGGGTTCGGTCCCCAGGACCATGGTTCTTAAGCCACTCAGATGCAATAACATCATTCCCAAAGGCGTCTTTGGCAATGGTACCACCACCAGCTCCTCCAGTCCTGTTAATTCATTTCAACAAATGTTAACATATATGTACAAGACAAACAAACAGCTCCATAAGCAGAGATATGGGTCGAGAAATTTTTGTGCTGACTACTTGGATTACTGAAGGTAAGCCTGACATTAAAAACAGGTCTACAGGACTTCAGAAGATGGCCTCAAACAACCGAGTTTAAGTGAATAAAAGGATATGTCATACAAAGAAATAATTGACACTAAGACACACAGGGCACTGCTAAATTCTAAAGAGCAGATATTAAATGAAGCATAATTAAATAGAAATGTATAGGTGTACAATTTATTGTTTGTACAACCTACAATAAATTTAGTATAATGACAATGCTATAATTACAATGTCACATAGTATTGTAAGTTTAAAATCATAACATATCATTAAATAAGTATAATGTGTTATTAAATGAGTTGATACATAGAATATCACAAGTGGAACCTTGAATGAAAAAGCTAATTATATAACATATCATGTTGTAAGCTTATAATGTCACATGACATTATAACTATATTATTTTCATTTGTATAATATGACGTTGTGACATGATTCTTTATTCAGTGTTCATGCATGAATTTTCTACTTGTTTAATTCCACATCATATTATATAAAACATTGTGCTCAATGCCTTAATTAAATTGGTTTGAATTTGCTCAATTAACTGCAATTCTATGTATAATTTCAGCTAATTGGTTTGAGTTAGTTTAATTAACCGCAACTTTAAGCATAATTGAGCCACATCCCATATCCCTCAATAACCCAATCAATCATCAATCAAGAACCCAAAATGTAAAAAGGAAGGTAGAAGCTAATCAAACTTACCCAGGAGGGACAAAGAAGGAGGCATAAGGAACCAACATGAATCCTGTCGGAAGCGAAACAGCACCCAACAGAATCAGATTCATAAGCTGCCTCTTGCCCATGTCTGGAACCCTATCGTCCGCTGGGATACTGGTAGCCTGACACGTCAGCCTCATCGCCTTCTCCTTCTTCCCCATCATCTGGGTCCTCGTCGGCTTCACAAAAACCACGTGTGACGGACAGAACAACCCACTCTTGCTCGAGCATAGCTGTTAAAAGAAACAAAACATTTGACAAACAAAGAACTGTAAGTCTGTAACTACAATATCGGTTTCATTAACGTTGTTTTTCAATAATTTTGGGGTTTGACCTGGGAAGGGGTCGCCGGGGAGAGAATGGAGGAAGCCATTGTTGAGAGCTTGTGGTGCTGTGTGGATAATGAAGGGTGGATTTCAGGGGATGAGATGACGGAAGCTTTAACGACCACAACTGGGGGATTTTTGGAACAATGACGCCACATCAGCCATAATGCCACGTGTTTAAAGTTTATGGTACCCGAATTTGGGCCTGTTTCCAAGTGTTTTTTCGGTCTAAGAGATCATAGGCCGAGTTCTAATTCAAGGGTTTGAAAATTGAAGTGATGACCCAAAGTTGAGGATAGAACCCTGCTCGAGTCAAGGGTTCATTGACC